TCCACCTTGAGCCAAATTTCGTTACAAGGAATTAAAATATATCTTCGAAACACCATTTCTCATCTTCCAAACAAGCCCCAATGGACTAAATCAATGAAAAACATCAATTAAGTTCAAGCAATACTCAAACATAGAAATTGAAAGTGGTTTTGTCATCATATCAGTATAATTATCCTTGGTATCAACCATGCTCACTACAATATCACCACAAGCAATTACATCACGTACAAAATGATACCTCACATCAATGTGATTAGTCCTTTCGTGAAATAACTGATCCTTAGTCAAGAAAATTGCACTCTGACTATCACAAAATATTGTAAATATCTCAAAGTCTTCACTGATTTCACCAAGCAATCCTCTCAGCCACATAGCCTTCTTACATACGTCTGTAATGGCCATGTATTCTGCTTCTATTATAGATAAAGCTACTGTATTTTACAAAATAGATTTCCAGTTGATAGCACATCCTCCAAGAGTAAACACATACCCTGTAAGCGATCTCCTCTTATCAAGATCCTCTATATAATCTGAATCCACATAACCAATTACTCCATCTGAATTTCTACCAAAATGTAAACAAGTATTTGAAGAGCCCATTAAGTATCTGAAGATCCACTGCACTGCTTTCCAATGTTCCTTGTAAGGATTAGCCATATATCTGCTAACTGCACTAGAGTAAGGAACTTAAGACATATAAACAACGTCTTCATCTAGCTGTGGACACAAGTTAGATGATAATTTGAAGTGGATGACCAAGGGAGTACTGACACCTTAACTTTCACCATATTGAATCTTTCAATCATCTTTTCAATGTGCCCTTTCTGATTCAAATACAATATGTCAACCTTTCTATCCCTAAAGATCTCCATTCCAAGAATCTTTTTTGCTGCACCCAAATCCTTCATGTCAAACTTCTTGTTGAGTTGTAATTTTATTTTTCTGACAACTGCTTTATCCTTGGCTGCTATGAGCATATCATCAACACATAATAACAAATATGTAGTTGATCCACCACTTTCCTTGTTGAAGTACACACAACTATCATAATTACATCTATCAAAATCATAAGTAATCGTGAATGAATCAAACCTCTTATACCACTGACTCGGTGACTGCTTTAATCCATACAAGGATTTCTTCAACAAGCACACATAGTCTTCATTCTCTGAAGCTATGAACCCCTCTAATTGTTTCATGTAGATGCGCTCCTCAAGTTCTCCATGTAAGAATGTTGTCTTGACATCCATTTGCTCAAGTTCCAAATCATTCTTAGCCACCACTCCAAGTAAAGCCCAAATAGAATTATGTTTCACAACTGCTGAGAACACATCTGTAAAATCAACACCAGGAATCTGACTGTAGCCTTTTGTCACTAATCTAGCCTTATATCTAGCATCCTCAATCCCTGATCTGCATTCTTATACTCGTTTACAGCGAATCATTCTTTTTCGTTTAGGTAATTTCACTAAGTCCCGAGTGTTATTTTTGCTCAATGACTCTATCTCCTTCTGCATAGCAATCATCCATTTTCTAGAATCACTACAACTAACTGCTTCTGAATATGTAGCAGGCTCCTCAATGGAATCAATGTTTTCAGCCACACTCAATGCATAAGTTACCAAATCTACTTTCTCGTATTTCTGTGGAGGTCTAATATGTCTGCGAGGTCTATCCTTAGCAATAGAATACCGTAGTGCTGGTGATGTAGGCAAAGTAGGCAAGATATTACTGTCTGTCAATTCTGAACTGGACTCATTTGTAGTAGACTATTCTACAACCTTTGATTGTTTCTCTGAACCAATTTCCAACTCCACCTGAGTTGAATGATTTTGTTCATCAGCTTTATCAGAATCCCCAAAAGGTAAGCGAACCATAGCAAGTTCATCTAATACTTCATTCTTACTAACAACCACATTTCTAGTCTCTGGACACCACAACTTATATCCCTTCACACCACATTTATACCGAAGAAAAATGCACTTTCTAGACCTAGACTCCAACTG